TGCCTTGTTCTTAACCGTCACTCGATGGAAACGTTGGCATAACTGTAAGTGAGAAATGTTGATGGAATATTGTGGAATATTATATAGAAGTTTTAAGGTTTAGAACGCTGACAGCTTTCATTTTATCCTTGTTAAAGCTCACGATAATTCATTTCTGCCTAACTGTGCATATGTCAGATGTTTCATGCATGCGTTGGTTTAACTGTACTTGTTACGTTCATGGTGTAATAACTGCTGTTTCACAAGCGTTGTTTTTGTTTTTTTAGGATAAAGTAGTGTTTCATGCATACTTTGGTTTAACTGTACTTGTTACGTTCATGGTGTAACCAACTGCTGTTTCAAAAGCGTTGTTTTTTTTTGTTTTTTTAGGATAAGGTAGTGTTTCATGCTTACTTTGGTTTAACTGTACTTGTTACGTTCATGGTGTAACCAACTGCTGTTTCAAAAGCGTTGTTTTTTTTTGTTTTTTTAGGATAAGGTAGTGTTTCATGCTTACTTTGGTTTAACTGTACTTGTTACGTTCATGGTGTAATAACTGCTGTTTTAAAAGCGTTGTTTTTTTTTAGGATAAGGTAGTGTTTCATGCATATTTTGGTTTAACTGTACTTGTAATAAAGAATAATATGGGGCATGTTCATATAGTCCAAGATGAAAAATGAAAAGTACGTATTCTAATGAGATAGCGGTCAAATACATTGTGCCACTGGCTCCGAGTTGACAACGGAGGTAATATGGATGGCGAAGGTAAATGGCTACTTGGGTATTTGTGGTTGGATGTTATACGTTCGAACACTTTGCAAGAAGGCTCAGATTATCTTATTTCATCGGCGTAATCTTTACTAATGCTTGAACAATGAATGATTAGGAGGCTAAAAATAGTATTATTGCTTACGCTTAACAGTATGTGGAACGAGAGGGTAAGGGAATCAAATATTACGTCATGCTCGTCTCACATTTTTATAAAATTAAATGCTGTTGAGTGGAAAAGGTCACACGGTTATAGCTAAGAGCGTGAGTACATCTAAATCAAGGGTAAATAATCGTATAGGGTCATCAAACTTATTACATTTATTTTCTTCACGTATTTTAAAATATTTTGTTTTTGCAAATGATAGTTATTCAATTCAACCAGAATCTGGAATTTCGTTAAATTAATTAATTACCATTTTCAAAAGTTTCTCATATCTCATAGAAGTTTGGATATTTCATTAATCACTCCATCAATTAATGATTTAACCCAGAACCCAGGAAATGACAAAGTGATAACTTCGTGTTAGTCAAATCTAATGAACTTTATATTTCCAATCTATGTTTCATCTCCAGACCGTGTAAGCTAAAGGTTGGGAATGTTTAAGTTTCTTACATTTTAGTAACTTCGCAAACGTAGATCACTCCATCAATTAATGATTTAACCCAGAACCCAAGAAATGACAAAGTGATGACTTCGTGTTAGTCAAACCTAATGAACTTTATATTTCCAATCTATGTTTCATCTCCAGACCGTGTAAGCTAAAGGTTGGGAATGTTTAAGTTTCCTACATTTTAGTAACTCCGCAAACTTAGATTGCGTCTTGGATGAAGTTTAGGCTTAAATTTTTACATCTTTTTTTACTCCCTTCGAGGTCTAATACGAACAGCAGTCTACAGAAAATTGAGTAACTCTTGTGTGAGTGAGTGAGCTGAGCGACTGCTTAAGGTGCAGACAGCGAAATGTTGTTGTTGACATTTTGTTCCAGTGTGATACGAGTATCGACTCTTCATCAAGGGCCGTAAAAATAGCACGTAGAAAGTGGCGAAGAGCAAGGATTTTATGTCTACAGAAAACTTTTTTGCTTAAGGCAGCAAGACCTTAAGCTACGCAGCTTTACCTAGTTAAGTTATTTTTTCATGTACGAAGAAAAATAAGAGATGTTTCAGACTGTTTAAAGGATTGAAAATTCGAAGCAACAATATCAAAGTACATTATTTTAAATGTTCAGAAAGTAAATCTAGTCTGATGAAGTTTATCTTGTATATACAAATTCACCTGGTTTTTATATAATATTTTGACTGCCTTAAACTGGACTCACTTACCAGTTTTTTCTATAAAAGTTTCACCAAAACTTATTTTTAAAACGTTGTTTAGGATAACTTTAGAAAACTTAGTCATACTTACGGTTTATTATTGTTATCCATATTAGTGATTTATTTTCTTCTTGCTAAACTAATTTTTATTTTAAGTTTGCATTATTATTCAAAGTTCACATATTTTGCTTGCAACTATATCGGTTACTACGTTCTTCACCTCGTATAAACAAACGGTTCATTAGGTAACGTGACGGGCTGTGGAGCCGAGGATCTGTGGTTCGTACTCCGTTACATTGAAACGAAAATCGCATTCTGCACTTTGGAGCTATGTATATATATAAGAATGACGTAAATTGCCCCCCCCCAGTGGCACAGCGGTATGTCTGCGGACTTACAACGCTAGAAACCGGGTTTCGATACCCTTGGTGGGTAGAGCACCATTTTGTAGCTTTGTGCTTAATTACAAACAAACAAACATGTGACGTAAAATCCCCTATTTGACTAGAGTAATCCACTGCTGACTGTAGGTGATGTTGACTAACTCCCTTCCCACAAGTCCATTACCTCAAAATTAGAGACAACTTATGAAGAAATTTTCCAATTTCGCTTTGCTTGATGTTCAACAAACAATCTAACAAAACTATCGTTTTGTCTTTATTTCAGGGTGGTAGAACGAGGGTTAGTTGGATGTCAGTTTTTTTCTGTGGCAATATAATTTTATTTACTGAAAATCATTGGATCGGAATCAAACTCGAAACTTCCCGCAAGGCAAGTGAGTGCTCTGTCATTGCTAGCAAGGCACTTTTTAACCATCCAAAACGCTATAGTGCTACATTTTTTTCCACTTCTGAGAGTTCGTCAACAAGACTGCAGGAAATATTTCTTCTTTCATAGACTCTTGCACTTTATACATAAACATGATTTAATATGAATATTCCGGTGGCTCAGCGTTAAGTTTATATGCTAAAATTCGGTGTTTGTTCCTCGCAGATACCCCATTAGGTATCTTTTCTTTGAAACAAACAGCCTCCCAGTGGCACATCGGTATGTCTGCGGACTTATAACGCTACCAACCGGATTTTGATACCCTTGGTGGGCAGAGCACAGATATCTCTTTGTGCTTGTTAACACACAACAACTGAAACAAACAACCTCCCAGTGGCACAGCAGTGTGTCTGCGGACTGCTACAAACCGGGTTTCGATACCCTTGGTGGGCAGAGCACAGATATCTCTTTGTGCTTGTTAACACACAACAACTGAAACAAACAAAGAGAATAACAAATTCTTTCAAAACGTCGTAATATCATCGGTATTGGAAATATTATCACTGCTTTTTTATTCTTAAAAATCGAGATATGCAAAACAGCTTGTTAGAGTCTCTCTATTCTTTGTTTTTTTATTAATTCCAGCTCATACTTATAATTTTTTCTTCTTTCACTGTATTCGTTAACGTGAACAAAAATGTCATAATATTAGTCTTAATTTCCCTTAAGGCCAGCTTACACACCAAAATATACTTTTCAATTAATGCATGCACGTGGATTCAAGAAATATTTTATATTTGGTGAATGAATTTAGTATATTAAGACCGTCGAACAGGTACGAAATTTATCAAAGTATGCGAGACTTGTTTGTTTAACTGCACAAAAAGTTAACCAAACATTCCTTTAAGCACAAAATAATCGTGATCAAAATTGGTACAGAAAGAACATAAGAAGGGAAGGATGATGAAGAAGAAATGTTGATATCCCTTAACCTATAGGAAGACAAACTTTAAAAACTAAATTACTTTCTAAGTTTTCTCTTCAATTATTCAGTAGGTATTTCTACAGTTCTTTAAAATCATTTTGTCATCAATTTTTTAACAAAACCACAATGATTTTGGAATACGGTTTTGTGTTTGTGTTGAATACCTGTCTTTAAATGGTTCGCGTTAATGTTAAGGAGATTGGAATCAGAATTTAAGACTCTTGGTGACTCAAATGCTTTTTAGCAACCTGTCGTTTAAATTCCACATCACTAGGTGTTAACGCTTAGCATAATGTTAATAACCCATTTATATTTAAAAATTAAAGTGGCGCTCTCTAGTAGCAAGACGTGAATAAACAGATAAATATATACATATATATATGACACATTCTTTTCAAGTTTAATAAACTATTATATAACAACATTTATTGCAGAGTGCATTCAATTGAAGCAAACATAGCGTCCTCTACATGGAGCGTTTGAATCTAATTTAGTATTATTTCTACAGTTCAATATTATTCAACTATTACAATTTTCAAGTATAATTTTCTAAATTAAACAAAATATATATTTTTCTAAAGAATGTTGAACGTTACATTTACAATTAAATTACTAAGATTTAGGGTTATTTTTATTGATCTTAGATATAATATAATAAGCACATTCACCTTGCAATTTCAGAAATTCTAACAGTAGTATTTCTACACAAACGTGTTTTTACTCAAAACGGTACAATGAAGCCATAAAAATGTTCGATATAAGTAAAATAAAATTCAGTTTTTGCTTCCTTCTCAGGCAACATTGTTTTTATTAAAGCGAAATTTAATGTCACTGTAAGTACAAAATAATCTATATTTAATCTTCTAATTCTCAACTGTTTTTTCCACCGGAGTTATAAAAATGTTTGGTACATCTCTGTCATTTGAGTAGATGTTTATTTAGTAGTTATTTCTAACTTGATTGGATCTGGACTATTTTATTATCACGAGCAATAATGTTTGCATATAATATAGTATACGCAATTCGTAATCTAGAAAGCATAGCGTTGTAATTTTGCCTGCATTACACCAATGCAATACAGTAAAACCTTAGAGTATGACTAACCAAGCGCAAACTAAAGTTAGCTCTTTAAAGATAGCATTATCGTTACTAAGGAATTAGAGATCAATCATCATTGACTTACCTTCCGCAAAAAGTACTGTAAGCCAAACCCAAATCATCTTGTAGAATGTAATCCAGTAGCCCACCAGCAGCTAAGTCTACACTCTAAACTAGGCGTGTGTCTACTGAACTCTGTCGATAACTGGAGCTTGTGGCACAACTTTTGAGAGTGATAGTACAATCGAGAGTGGCGCCATCTATACTACTAAAAGTATATATAGATTGTGTATAGTGTTTCACATTGGACACTCAAATTATTAGGTTTTATCATTAATGAGACAGCGGGTGATCGTATATTGCCAATGTAAGCTAAATACATGCGGGAAGAACCCGCCTTAATCACCGCCTCTCTCGCTCCTAGTAAAAAGTTGTTCGTGCATAATTCATTACACAATGTTGCAGTCTGTCCGCTTCCCTAAGACAACATGGAGTTAACAAAAATAAGAGAAGTAAAATAACATGAAACTATTTGTGCCCTAGCGCGTATCGTGTTGTATTGTATGTTATCTCTGTTTATGGAGACATTCCATGAATAATATACTTAACCATAACAACGTATTCTCCAGGTTTCATGTGTTCTCCTGGACGTTTATTACTCTAGTGGCTGTGACAACTACGTTGTAGTACTGCTCTTGCATTCTTATTGATGTATAAGCATAGCAAACTGTTCCTGTTACGTTATTTCTTTATCGGCAATCTACTAAGTTGACCAAGTAGGTTTGGTACCAAGATAGACTAATAATTTTTTGGCTCCTCATACCAAATTAAGCTTTATTAGCCAATTTTTCTATACATTGTTAGACGTCTAAACAAAAAAGATAAGAATCTTGCGGACTCACTCATCCTGTATGACGTGACTTCTGAAAGTTGGAAAGTTACGTAACTGATAGGTTCTGTGTGGATAACGCAAAACTCCAGTTGCGTTAGACAACGCAAATTATACATTGACTTGTAGACGCTTATAAGCTCAAAAATACGATGAGAACCAATTTAAAATACGTAAACATAATCGCAAGTATAATTTTCGTATTTCCTGTGGCATTGGTCATTAATGTACGGTAACAAAACTCCAGAGTTTTCTGGATAGCTCAATGTTTTAACCTCTTGAGATACACTTTTATCAAAGCTCTTTCGAAAGCTTGTGTACATGTATCAGATGGAATGTCGCTTTCATAGTTCTCTTTCGTAACCGTAACCTTTACTTTACGGATGAAGATTTCGCTCATTATTGGTGCACGTCAATGATTTTAATAAACCCCTACTTACTTTAAGATATCATTGGTGCACGTCAATGATTTTAATAAATCCCTACTTACTTCAAGATATCATTGGTGCACGTCAATGATTTTAATAAACCCTACTTACTTCAAGATATCATTGGTACACGTCAATGATTTTAATAAACCCCTACTTACTTCAAGATATCATTGGTGCACGTCAATGATTTTGATAAACCACTACTTACTTCAAGATATCATTAGTGCACGTCAATGATTTTGATAAACCACTACTTACTTTAAGATATCATTGGTGCACGTCAATGATTTTAATAAACCCCTACTTACTTCAAGATATCATTGGTGCACGTCAATGATTTTAATAAACCCCTACTTACTTTAAGATATCATTAGTGCACGTCAATGATTTTGATAAACCACTACTTACTTCAAGATATCATTAGTGCACGTCAATGATTTTGATAAACCACTACTTACTTCAAGATATCATTGGTGCCGGTCAATAATTATAATAAATCCCTACTTACTTCAAGATATTATTGGTGCACTTCAATGATTTTGATAAACCCCTACTTACTTCAAGATATCATTGGTGCACGTCAATGATTTTAATAAACCTCTACATACTTCAAGATATTACTGATGCACGTCAATAATTTTAATAAACCCCTACTTATTTCAAGATATTATTGGTGCACGCCATAAAATATAATAAACCCCTACTTACTTCAAGATATCATTGGTGCACGTCAATGATTTTTATAAACCCCTTCTTACTTCAAGATATCGTTATGACTATTTACTCTATAAGATGCTTAAGCGAATTAGTCTAACAACTACTTAAAGTTATGTTTAAAATCACTGTTGTACACCTTTCTTCTCGCTTTTAAAAATCCCAAGTTTGATTAACATAAAACATATATTGCAAAACGTTTTATTATGTTAGAACTTTAGATACTTCTGTTTTCTCACCTTCACTGATCCTATTATTTCGTAAAAAAGTAACTGAACTAAAGAATTTACTTAACCATTCTCTAAGAAAAAGCTACATCGTATGTAAATCTTTCTCATAAATGGTTCATAAACTTAGTAGTAAAAGTTTCGTACTTCACAAGTACACACGTGTCGTAAAAATATTCTGTCCATTTGCATAAGTTTCGGTTATTAATATATATATCATTGTTTATTATTGCTAAAAAAAAGTGGACCATAAAAGAATCCTGTGATCATTGGCATCATTTTTGATACACGAAATTAAGGATGAGTGATAAACGGCACGTCGTTTATTAAATAGAGAGAGAGATTTTAAAAGTGGTGCTGACAGCTACTTTTCTTCTTTGGTCATATCGTTTCGAACATTTGAAATATTATCATCAACATAAATAATTGATTCATTTCAAGCCCTCTTCTCGCTAATTGCCATATGAGAAAATATTGTTTCTAATATTTGATATGTAAAAGAAACTTAAAGGTTTATCCTCTCTAACACTAGAAGTATTATTTAAAGTATTTTAAATAAATATACTTAATCATATCAAATGAAATAACGACTCTTTAGGACGTTTCTTTTATTATTGATTTCTTTAAACTTGCATCGGTTCTTAAAATCAGTTTTGCTCTCCAATAGTATACTAATTACTATTAGGAGTGAAGGGTATCCGAGAGTAGTTTCTTCTGGAGTGTTAAAGAGTTATAGAATAGCCAATAATCTAACCTACAACCAACTTCGTTCACAAAAAAGACTAACGTTCTCTAGAAAATAAAATTATAGAATATCGTTACATACTCTACGCCAAACTCAGATATTAATTTAACGTAAATTACCTTCGTATTAAGTCAGTAAAATAAATCACGTTTTAATATATTGGCTCATTCCAATAATTATCTGTATTAGCAGTTACTCAGATTGGGGTAACATTATCTCATTTAATGATAAAGCTGAGAGCTTATAACTCAGGTTTCGAACACCATTGTGTAGCTCTATGCTTAATTACAAAACAAACAAATAAACAAACATTATTTAATGCAGGACATCTTTTGCAATTTAATATGAACTATTAGGATGTCAAGATAAGATACGTGACAGTTTATTTGTTTGTTTGTTATGAATTATTAGGATGTCAAGATAAGATACGTGACAGTTTATGTGTTTGTTTGTTATGAACTATTAGGATGTCAAGATAAGATACGTGACAGTTTATTTGTTTGTTTGTTATGAACTATTAGGATGTCAAGATAAGATACGTAACAGTTTATTTGTTTGTTTGTTATGAACAATTAGGATGTCAAGATAAGATACGTGACAGTTTATGTTTGTTTCTTATGAACTATTAGGATGTCAAGATAAGATACGTGACAGTTTATTTGTTTGTTTCTTATGAACTATTAGAATGTCAAGATAAGATACGTAACAGTTTATATTTGTTTCTTATGAACTATTAGGATGTCAAGATAAGCTACGTGACAGTTTATTTGTTTGTTTGTTATGAACTATTAGGATGTCAAGATAAGATACGTGACAGTATATGTTTGTTTCTTATGAACTATTAGGATGTCAAGATAAGATACGTGACAGTTTATTTGTTTGTTTCTTATGAACTATTAGGATGTCAAAATAAGATACGCGACAGTTTATTTGTTTGTTTGTTATGAACTATTAGGATGTCAAGATAAGATACGTGACAGTTTATTTGTTTGTTTGTTATGAACTATTAAGATGTCAAGATAAAATACGTGACAGTTTATGTTTGTTTCTTATGAACTATTAGGACGTCAAGATAAGATACGTTACAGTTTATTTGTTTGTTTCTTATGAATTATTAGGATGTTAAGATAAGATACGTGACAGTTTATTTGTTTGTTTGTTTGTTTGTTATGGATTTCGTGCAAAGCTACAGTGTAAGACTAGAGGGAAGGCAGCTAGTCATCACCACCCACCGCCAACTCTTGGGCTATTCTTTTACCAACGAATAGTGGGATTGACCGTCACGTTATAACGCTCCCACGGCTGAAAGGGCGAGCATGTTTAGTGGGACTGGGATGATACGTGACAGAAAGACAACCTTACAGATAGGTTTGTATTTTATAAGCGAGTTGTGAAATGAAAGTGGGATGTTTTGACCAAGATAAGATTTGATAAGACAAGATGTATACGTTATATATATATCAGATCGTATTATACATGTTTTATCTTTGAATAACATGTAAACGTGACATTTTTATTACTTAAAAAAACAAATATTTTTTAATTATCTTTTTTTCTTCCAGTTCATAAATAATTTTTTTTCGTATATCTGTGTTCAAGAGATTCGGATTTTGCCACTGCTCTTCTGACAGAATTAATACTAAACATGTTATGGAACGCGAATGTTAATCTTCTACACAGCAAACAAACATAACTGACAAGACTGTAAACCGCCTGGGATGCTCGAAGAGTTCTTTCATTCTGACCATCGCACTACGTATGCTGAACTTGAAGAGACATTTCCTTTGCTATTAATCCAGCACGAAATGATTGCCAACGCAAGAAAACAAGATTACGTATACAATAATATTATCAGATAAATACTTTACAATTACAGAGGAATACAAACTACTTATATTCTAAAGATAGTGAATTATATCCAAACTTGAGAATTCACGCTCAAAGACAGATATGCCTGTATATTCATATATATATATATATATATACTTAAACGTATATATATAAGTAAACTTGTTATTTTTATGCATACGCTATTATTTAAAATGCCCCCATCTCTTTGTATATACGTGTGTCTGTAACTTTTTGTCAGCTTACCATCTCTTAACGGAGCTACCAGACAACTAATGTATTAAATCAAATATCCAAATATTAATAAAAATGTTGACAGCCTTACTGACAC